GGATCAGGCAATGGTTTTTTAGATATGACACCCAAAGCACAAGGAAAGGAGAATTAGGTAAACTGGACCTCATAAAAATGGGCACAAAAGGTTTACGCTTCAAAGGACACTATCAAGAAAGTGAAAAGACAGTTTGCTCACGGAATGAAAGAAAGGAAATATTTGCAAAATCATTTACTTGTATCCAGAATACATCAAGAACTCTTACAACTTAATAATAAAAAGACAAATAAGCCAATGTCAAATATGGGCAAAACATGTATTTGAATTAACAAGTGAATAGACATTTATATATCTTCTCCAAAGAAAATAATATAACTGGCCAGTAAGCGCATGAAAGGATGCTCAGGATTATTATTCATTAGGAAAATGCAAATCAAAACCACAGTGAAATACCACTTCACACCCACTAAGATGGCTGTAATCAAAGAGATGGGCAAGGATGTAAAGAAATTGGAATGCTTGTACATTGCTTGTGGTAAGAATGTAAAATAGTGCAGCCACTTTGGAAAATAATTTGGCAATTCCTCAAAAAGTTAAAACACCAGAAATGCCACTCCTAGGTATTTACTTAAGAGAAATTAAAGCATACACACAAAAACTGGTACATAAATGTTCATGGCACCATAATTTATAATAGCCAACAAATGGAAATAACCCAAATATCTATCAACTGATGAATGGATAAACAAAATGTATATCTCTATAATGACATGTTATTCAGAATAAAAAGAAATGAAGTACTGATACATACTATAATATGGATGAACCTTGAAAACATTAAACTAAATGATAGAAGCCATTGCAAAAAGCCACATACTACATAATTCCATTTATGTGAAATATCCAGAAGAGGCAAATCTATAGAGACAGATTATGGAAGAGTGGTGGCCAGGAGCTGGACACTGGGGTGAACGGGGAGTGACTGCTAATAGATACAAGGTTCCTTTTTTTGGGTGGTGATAATGTTCTGGGATTAGTAGTGATGATGCACAATTTTGAGAATATTCTAAAAACCACTGAATTAAACACTTAAAAATATAAAAAATAAACAAAAATTTTCACCAGCTCAATTCAGCTTGAAGGATGAATTCCTTGGAATCTCCTATCTCCCAGCACTTTGTTTCTCTATGTGACTCACCATTTCGGGGAATCCCATGGTTTTCATACTTAGTTTTTCTGCAAGAGTTGGTGTTTCCAGTTTGGCCAGAGGACCAGCAGTGACGAGACGCCCACCCTACTCTAGCAGGGCACTGGGAGGCCTTGTGGCTGCAAGTGTTATATTTTATTTAGAAAGACAACTCACAGGGGTCTCAAAGGCTTTCCTAACATGTTCTCAAATGTCCTCTCAGCCTTGAGGTAGAACATAACGGTGTCCAAAAAGTACCTACAAGTTGTTAAATACGTTATAGATCAGAGGTTTCTGACTGAGACTGACCAGCTCAATGGCACTCTGGGGCACTGTGAATTTTTAAAATTTCCACAGATATTTTTGGACTCACTGTGGTACAGTAAGAGCATTTCCAAAAGGCTACTCTCTGCATACACACTTTCCTCTTCCCCCTTCACACTGCAATCTACAAACACATGCACAGGGAGAAGAGAGGCAGGCCCTGACATGCCAGTGTTCAAGTCTCAGCATTTAGTTCCAGGTCTGCAGTACGAACTAGAGACGGAAGACAGTAAGCATCACCTTTGGACCCAGAGGCATTGCACAGTGTTGATGTGGTTGCTCTCAGAGTGTCAACTTGCTCTGTGGGAAGCAAACAGGATGCTGGTTGAGAGTCTCGGTGCTTATGGACAGGACCCCGGGGCACTGGTTGCACGTGCAGCAAGGATGGGGTCTGTTGGCATTTGAGCCTCTCTGCTCACCAGCCAGAGATGCCCCCATCTCGGCTGTTCCCAGGGAAGTGGTCATCCCAGCAGCCTACAAAGCCACTGGGGATCAAGGAGACTGACTCAGTATATTATTCTGACTAGGGCACAGCCTTCCTGTGAACCCTGGAGTTGCAAGATTCTTGGGCACCAGAACCACCTGAGACACTTTGCTAGTTCTGTGCAAGCTCTGGCTGGTACCTTGGGTCTCATATGGCACAGGCACTGTGTTTTGTAGCAAATCAGTAACATTTGATTTTAGCAGCACCCCTGGCTGTACACGTCTCCTTCCCAGGCTCATTTTGGAGAATATGTTCACTGTTTCTTAGCCTTTCCCCAACGGAAGCCTGGAGGGAAGAGCATGGGGTCCAGAATGCTACCTGGAGCTCAGTCGTTTCCTTCCTCCAGTTTACAAACCCAGCGTGTGGCTGGAGGTGCCAGTAGATTGGAGCACACAGATTTTCTTCTGGAATGTGTCATTGTTCTGATGGTCAGATGTGGAATGTGAATACTTGAAGACTCTGAGCCTTATTTCTTTGGGCCCTGAAAAAAAAAATCTGTCACACAATTGGTGTCCTCTCAGGATGGGTCTATGGATTGAGTCTGCAGGAAGCTGCCTTTTTAAATGAAGATCCTGGTTTCAAAGTGCTTAACCTTTTGAATTTAATTGCAATGAAATATCACTTACTACAAAATGTGAATTACTTGATTTTGTTCTGCTATGGTGGCTCTCGTGTACTCTGTCAAATGGTGAGTGGTGTGGCCAGCAATGAGATGTCTGCTTCATTCGCTGCTTTAAAAAAGGTGCATCTAATAAACTTGTTTTTTTCATACATTGTTTTGTCCTCTTTCTCACTCCCAAGAACAATGACCATATCTGGTGCTTGCACACTTGAATTCCCTTGCGGAACTGCATGCTTACCTGCCTGATCATTACAGAGGTGCATCTGGGCTGTGGCGGGTGGCGGGGGGTGG